ATGTTTACACATAAAAGATATGTCAGGCATTAATGATTCATGCACTTCAATACAACAGGAGAAAAAACAAAAGAAAACAAGCTATGATGAGGGTCAGTAAGGTAAACAATTCTGATCATTTCTCTCTGGTGTGCTCTGAGTAAGGAGTTATGGTATTTAAAATTTTCCGAAATTGAGGCACGCTCCGCTCATGGTATTTATGCTCTGTACTGTGGCCCAATGCTATGCCCTTTCGGGGTAGATCGAACTCTCGGACAGACCAACAAACAACTAAAACAGACAAAAGCAAAAAAGGCGTAGGAATTGTATCGATTGTGACTTTTGCTGCATTTCTGAACGGGATCCGATCACCATTGGTGCAAGGCAGCCAAAGGTGGGCTTTTTCCGGTTTCTTGTCAACGCCCCTAGGCCATTCTTTTGCTTCTGGAGGTATGGTATGAAAACTTCTCCTTTCGTATCACATGTACACTTCAATAAATGAACTAAAATTCTTCGCGGCACGCTCGACTACTGCTTGTCATTCATTTAGCTTAAGGTCACATTAGTCTTCGAATGTGCGTTAAGTTGTAGGACGAATATCGTTTATCATTTTTCTTATGGCATTGTTCTGCTATCTTGCTGGAGTCATCTTACCTACCTCTGGTATTGATCTGGCGATTTGCCATTGGATCTACAACAATGCACAATCGATAGAGGACTTATTTGTATATGAAGCGTGCATTAGAGATTTGATGGGAAATAGCACCACATTTGGGAGGATCAAAATTTTACCTAAGGTGAGAAACGACGTAAAATTAGATCACTTGAGACAGCATTGGATTCGTTTGACGTCTCTGACCCCACAAACGTGAAGAGCAATCCGCCCTCTCTGTAGATTGATGGTGAAGGTGAACCATAATAGCTTTGGCTCGATTTTATAACGCTCAAATGATCCTGTTCGGCACACAAAGGGAAACCACAGGAAGCAAATTAGGCACCCCAATTAGTTCCAGTAGCAGTCGTGCAGCACTTTTTTCGGAAGACGTTTCAATTGGCCATATAGAACTGACTGACTTGCCCTAAACATCTTATTTTATTTTACTATTTCTTGTTTTTCCACTGTTTTTTTCATTTTTTCCCTTCTACAAAACAGCTCACAAGAATCATGTTGGGTTAGGTTTTTTCAGCAGTTTACAGATGGTGCATCACCTATTCGGAATCCCACCACCTAAGGAAATAAAGAGGATATTAGCGCTATTTCTAGGGGACCGCATGGGCCCGCGACGCATGGGTTACAAACAGCAAATGGAATGAAGAAACCGACTTTATGCTGCACCACTGGAAAAAAGCAACACCTCCGATCCTACAAAACAACCCCGATACCGTACATAAATTTTCATGTTTTCTTTGGGAATCTGTGTTCTTGTATACGAAGATTTCGTCACAAGTGACTGAATTTTTTGCAGAGTTGTACCAGAACTGAAGACTCCCGCTCATGGGATCGTGATATGGTACAATCCCTTAGCCGGACCCGTGATGCAGTCGCTCTGCACAAAGGGGTATAATTGATGTCATCGCAATCTGTAGGGGCGGTATCAGTAGGAATGCGATGAGTTCGCCCGCCTGCGTTTTCACCAGTAGTGATTGGTTAATGATCGATTCACTAAGAAAACCACCAGTGATGAAAGACGCCGTGGCATGGTCATTCCATGCTTTCTGACACTGCCTGATTGATTGCGACGATATCAACAAAACCGAGCACCTAATTTTTGTGATCACAAAGTCATTGAATCTATTGGGTTGGCACATAAGTAATGGCGTTTTTTTCAATTGAAAATTTTGGGCACTATTCAACTATTACTACCCCAGATTTCCGGAAACGGGCCGGATTTTGATCGACTTTTTTCTACGGGGGTGGATTTGGCTGAAAGTTGGGTTCTAGGGGTAATTCGACCTCCTGAACACGAATATCGCATTTCCTCGGCTTGAAACCGCTCCGCGTCCGCGCTACGGGCGCCGGCGCCAAAATGCCCCAAATCACTGGCGCCTATGGCGCGGGCGCCAGGCAATTTCAGGCCAAGTGGATGTGATATTCGTGTCAGGAGGTCGAATTACCCCTAGAACCCAACTTTCAGCCAAATCCACCCCCGTAGAAAAAAGTCGATCAAGATCCGGCCTGTTTTCGCAAAACTGGGGTAGTAATAGTTGAATAGTGCCAAATTTGGTTCCAAAAGTGAACAAAACAAAAAATGGTTTTGCGCAAGCAAGCTTGATATCATCTGATAGGAAACTTCTCGTAGTATAGGAATATCAAAGCAGCTTCGGTTAAGAGGATAGTTTTTTTTAATTTTTTAGTCGTTGAAGTTTAATGTGAAGTCGGCGAAAATCATCACCTTCGACAACGGCCTTTTTTTTCACAACGGTTCTTTCCCTTAGATCTACTCGGATGCTACCTTAAGGCTGCTCCATTACATTGGAAAAGTTTTGGCTAACAACTATACGGAAGGAATTCTTAATAGGACGCTTTGGAGCGAATTTCAAGAATTTCTTAAGTGCCAACCTTCACCTCGCCGATATTGGGCAGGCTCACATCTGTACCACCTGAAATTTCATGCTAATAATTGAACGTTTCGCTGATATGCTTTGCGTGCTCTGATAGCAAATATCGTGCTCTATAACAGTGCAATAGAAATTTGTTCTTCAGAGCTGTTTTCTTTCTGTTAGATTTCAGAGTTATCTTACGGAAGTGATGTCTCTCCCTACCGTTTCACGCGAGAGACTTCAAAGCCTTCCGTAAAGCAGACTTAATAGAATCGCCTATGGGTGTTGAATAAAGATAGGCAGTAACAGATTTAAAAGTATGGGACCGGTCACAAGTTGATTCGGGAAAAAAGCACAACCGACAACATTAACCTTGCAGACATCCGGTCGACGCCATACCTCACGATTTTTTTGTTTACCTTAGTAAATTTCAAACAGTATTTACAACACTATAAAAAATACAGATATTTACAATAAACTAGTCAATGATATAATCCCCATTGTTTAAGAACTCAAAAGGATTTCGGAATAACTGCACCGCACGTTATAGAGCACGAAATTTGCTATCAGAGCATACAAAACACATTAGCGAAACATTCAACTATTAGCATAAAATTCGTGGAAATCGGGAACGCTAATTCTCATCGACCTCACGTTCCGTAATGATAACCTGAAATTAACAGAAAGTAAACAGCTCTGGAGAACAGATTTCCATTGCAGTGTTATAGAGCACGAAATTTGCTATCAGAACATGCAAAACATATCAGCGAAACATTCAACTATTAGCATAAAATTTCAGGTGGAACAGACGTGAGCCTGCCCAATATCGGCGAGGTGAAAGGTTGGCAACTTTGAAATTCTTGAAATTCGTTCCAAAGCGTCCTATTGAGATTCTTCTAGCTCAACCTTTTCCAAATGTATGGAGCAGCTTAAGCGATTTTAGCACTTCGAGTAGACGTAAATAGAGGCAGTTGTCGAAGGTGCTAATTTTCGCCGACTTCACTTTCAACTTCAACGACTAAAAAATTCACAAAAATTATTCCCTCAACCGAAGCTGTTTTGATATTCTTATACGAGAAGTTTCCTATCAGATGATATCAAGCTTGCTTGCAAAACATTTCACTTTTGGAACAAAATTTTCAATTGAAAAAAAACGCCATTACTTATGTGCCAACCCAATACTTCAGTCAGTAAGTGAAAGTCATTTCATTCAGAAACACAACATGGCACTACGACAATAATCTGATAGCAACTCCCAGAGAAATCAAGGAGCGGATGCTAAATTGTTCAAAAGCTGTCGAAGAAGAGCGGGCGGTAGCGATGTCTAAGGTTCGAAAGCTAAGAAAAAGCTGGCTGACTATGGACATTTGGAACGTCTCCAGTCTCGAGCCTTATCTCTAAAGCTTTGGTGCGAAGTGCACTGTTTTTTTAGTCGGATGTGTCAGGGCAAATGGGTTTTGGCAGGACGCTGGCCCGTTTTCGACTATGGCTCCGGATTCGAGCGTTCTAATGACGGAAAAGGGGCCGGCGCCGTGCTGAAACTCATGCCGCTGACACGCCCCTGCAGACCTAAATGATAAGAACTATAACGGAAGACCTAGGCATCATGCACAAGAGATATTAGTTTCGAATGTCATGATTTAGAAATGCTGGAATGTAATAGGAAAAGACATATTCAGCGGTCGAATCGTCGTACCTTTAACAGCAGCGTTG